ATTTCACCCTGGGAACTCCTGAGATTTTGAACCAACACGTCTAAATAAATATGCCTGCAGGGTGATTAACTCTTATGGTATAATTGAACAGAAGACCCCACCCACTGCAATGTCAGTAATAACCATACTAAACTCTTTTACATTCCAAAGTAGAACATTCCAATTCTCATTGTTTGCCATCACTAATTCGTTCTTAATAGACAAAGCCTTTTGGGGCTTCTTAATATTTTTAAGTGAGTTAGGACATTCAAAGATGTGAACACAGTGTATGGTTTGTTTTTTAGTGGACAGGGGACTCTAGCCCTGGGTTTGAGCTCTATCCACTCAGCAACTTTCAAGTTTCCCTAGTTTTGTACATACAGGATTTTGGTCCTCATAAATATCCTGTAGGTATAAGTGACTAAGGCCTAAATACAGTGCTTGGCACGTGGTAAACAGTCCATAAATGATAGCTACTACTAGTGAATTTCATAAATACTTAAATAACTTTCAAAAGGTTTTTTGAGTCCTAGTTCAAATTAATGCCAAGAAGTTCTTGGTTTCTTTCTTGGACTGAAAGCAAAATAATCCTCATTTGTTCTGTAGTACAGAATTTCCCACTTAGATTTAAATCTTTATTGACTGCTTCAGATGATAATTTTTGACAGGATGTAAATTCACCCAAGGGGAGGGAAATATAATAATTTTCCCATGTGATATGGAAAGTTAAAATATTTTCCCATTTCTGAAATTTCCTGTTTCTTACAAAGTATGTACTCTAGTAGAAAAAAACATTCTCAGAAAATATTCAGAAATGTGGGGGCTCTGGAAGAAAAAAAGTTTAAAAAAACTTTTCAGTATAACTGCCAGAGGTTTATAAACTAATAAAAATGCTTTCCCCTATATGGAGAATCAAACACCCTAGATTTGCTACAAAATACAATAGGTGTGGTGTGTAAAGATTTGGTTATGAATGCAAAGGAAAAGACTGGACATGAGTTCTCCTCAAGGAGGAATTAGTGGTGTGGTCTCTTTATACCTTTTTTGGGACAGACACCTCTGGACTGTATGCACCAGTTGATCTATTTACCAGCCTGTTTTGGGTATATAATTAAAGCAGAGTCAATTTCACATGAAAATCTAAATGTCCAAAGTCCAGGTAATTTTCATTCTAGACAGTCCTCTCAAGTTGGGGATTATCTTTTTATCTTTTTTTTTATTATGATACCACAAAGGAAATTTTAGGTCAGAAATGAAGTCATATGTCTACATACAGTTTTTGAAATGACACTAACCTTCTACTTCTGACTCATCTTCCATTCCTGCTCCATGTTCTTTGAGTAAAGATCACTTTCAAATGTTCTGTTTCTAATCAGAATTTTTCGTATCATTCCTAAGAGGTTAGATATCTTTTTAAAATTCTTCACTGATTTATATCAGCATAGAATTTCCTTACAGCTGGTTCAGCCATATTGAAATTTGTGGCCCAAGTCCCACCATCCGGAAAGGTGATACCTAATTGGCCCCAGAGTGTATGCACAGTATACATAATGTCATTATGTCCATTTTTCTTAATTTTTACTTTATCAGTTAATTATTTTATATGCTTTTTAGAATTTTTAGACTTTGTATTCATTTGCTAAGACTACCATAACAAAGTATCACAAACTGAGCGGCATAAACAACAGAAATTTATTGTCTCACAGTTCTGGAGGCTGAAGTCCGGGAACAAGGTGTCAGCAGAGTTGCTTCTTTCTGGGGGCTGTGAAAAAGAATCTCTTCTATGCCTCCCCTCTAGCTTCTGGTGGCTTGCTAGTAATCTTTGGCATTTATTGACTTCTATAAGTACTATCCCAACTTCTGCCTTCATCATCATATGATGTCCTCCCTGTATATCTGTGTACATAGTTCCCCTTTTAATAAGGACAATAGTCACACTAGATTAGGGCCCACCCTAATGACCTCATCGTGACTTCCATAAATACATCGGCAGTGACCCTATTTCCAAATCAGGTCGTGTTCTCAAGTACTGGGGGATAGGAGATACGACTTTCAGGGAAACACAATTCAACTCAGAGCATACATACACACTTACATATGTTACATAGGAAACTTTTTAGCACGTCATCAGTATTCTGATATTAAGATGAAAACAAGTTTCTTAAGACCATCAACAATGTGGAACAATATAATAGATTGCTAGAAGTGCTATGGTAAGTCACTTCAATGGAGCTAATGGTTCTGTTAATTCTTAGAGACCATTCTGCCTGACGGACTTGACCACCAGCCACTCTGAAGCACAGGAGTGTATGCCCAGCCTCACTTCTTAGCATCCTTTGTTGTTTGCTTGTTGTTTTCTAACTATAGCCATATATAGCCACTGCCTTCTAATAAATTCTACAAATAGGAAAGAATATTTATGGCCCGTAGCTCTGTGTGCAGCCCACTTGACTTTGGTCATAAGTTTTAAACAATAACAGCTCTGTGATACTGCAGCAAGTTAGACTATTTAAGTTTATTTCATAAGTACTGACAAGCAGGATAGCAAATAGGTTTCATTTCTCTCTTAGTGCCAACTCCAGTAAATCAGTAAATTGAATTTCTAAAGAATTTAATTGAAGGGCGCCTGGGTGGCTCAGTTGGTTAAGCGACTGCCTTCGGCTCAGGTCATGATCCTGGGGTCCTGGGATCGAGTCCCACATCGGGCTCCCTGCTCAGCGGGGAGTCTGCTTCTCCCTCTGACCCTCCCCCTTCTCATGCTCTCTGTCTCTCATTCTCTCTGTCAAATAAATAAATAAAATCTTTAAAAAAAAAAGATTTTATAAAAAAAAAAAAGAATTTAATTGAAGTTTCTAAAGCCCGTGGAGCCGCAGGTCATTGTAGTTTTTTTTTTTTAAGATTTATTGATTGATCTGAAAGAGAGAGAGCGTGCTCATGAGTGGGAGGGGCAGAAGGAGAGGGAGAGGGAATCTCAAGCAGACTCCGTGCTGAGCGGGGAGTCCAACGCAGAGCTCAATCTCACCACCCTGAGCCAAAACCAAGAGTCGGACACCTAACCGACTGCGCCACCCAGGTGCCCCTCATTGTAGATTCTTAATGTTTGCCATGAGTTGGGGATAGGAGGTGGTAGAGTCATTCCACGACCCTAACTCATCCTAAGGCACCCTAAGATAATCAAAATTACCCAAAGACAATTGTACTCTAGATTGAGGCATCATGATTATTCCATTCCCCAGATCCTGCTTCCTCCCACCCCGATTTCCTGTTTATGAATTACCTTCCTGCCCCCCCACACCATCTAATGTACTAATACTAATTATCCCTCTGTCTCTACTTCATTGACCCTGCGAAATCAGCCCTTGGCTGCATTTTCTGTATTGTCTCTCCTAACTTTTACACCAAATGCCTGCTGGGTGCTATAGTTAGTAAATTAGGCTCTGCTAAACAGATGCCTTTTGACAAAGTTCCAAAGGCAGAAATACAGTGAACACCATATTCCTGATTGTTGGCTGTGGCTGCTGTCAGGAAAGGTCACGGAAATGTAAGATTCTCCAACATCAGCATTCCAGGGTCCGCTGTCCAGCTCCCTGGGTTGAGAGGCAGGTTTTGCGACAGTGGAGGCTTCCTGCTTCCAGCAAGGCTGCAATGGAGGCTTTAGAGACAATTGTCACCTAGTAGGACCACGATCCACTCTTCCTAAAGACATTTCTGGAAATGCAACCTAGATTTCTTCCTTTAGCCTCACCAATTATTATCTAAGCACCCACGTTTGTGTAGGAAACCTCTTTCTGCTTCAAATACATAGAGTGGTATTCCTAATAATAGTAGATTTAATGTACTATGAGGGAAGAGTTTATGCCCTGAAGAGTTTATGGCACAGAAACACAATTCCAAGAGCATTAGACATTAGACGCCTTTCTTTATTATCACCTCTGGATCATTTCCTTGTGGAAGTTTTCATCAGATACTTCACCCTACACCAAATCCCGGCTACGTACAATCTCACGCCTCCTTTCCAGACTATTTGCGATTTGCCAAATTTGTCCTAATTGCAGAGAAATTCACCCTCTTCATTTCCCAACACCAAACCCAGTTTTCAAGCCAATTTTGTATCTCCAAACCCACAGCTCAAAATAACTCACATACCAGGACCCACTCTCTTACATGGCAGCCATGCTTATCCACAACCTTTTCATCCATGACGTAATGATAGTTGATGTGGAAGCCAACATAACAAGGGCTTATATGTCACATGAGAAATTTAAGGAGAGACCATCATGGCATTATCGGGAAATATCAAGGTTCCTCCATGACACATCAAGAGCACTACGTACTTCCTGAAGGGGTATGACAGGGAGCAGAATGAAAAGCCAGTGCCACCCGCCTGTTTTCTCTCTCCCTCTCACCTCCAGCCCTCAGCTACAGAAATCAATCCTGCCTGGGCACTTTCAGTCTGAATACACAAGTCTTTTTTTCTTTTTTCCAGCCAGTGTGATTGTTCCCTACTGTTATTTTGATTATTATGTTTCCTTCTACCGGTTCCTTTTTCTCCTTTGTAGGATCCTTGTTCTCCACATTTTACAATTTCTGATGCTCTGCCCCAAACCTCTTAGCCCTCTCCTCACGATTTGATTCTCTTTGTATTTTTGCTGTGTTTTGAAATGTGTCTTTCACTTGGCCCTCCAGGCTGATCTCAATGCTGACTAATCTCTCCTTAATTCATCCACTCAGTTTCTAAATTTTTAACTTACCAGATTTTTAAGTTTCAGGAAGTCTCTATAAAGCTATTAAAAATCATTTTTGTCATGGTCATTCTTATAGTCATTCTTGTAACCATTTTATCATCATTCTAGAAGCTTTCCTATTCTGATTCTCTTCTCTCTCCCTAATTTTCTCTTCCCTCCCTCCTCCTCTTTATTTTCTTTTCCCTTCCCTTCCCTTCCCCCTCCCCTCTTCTCCTCCCCTCCCCTCTCCTCTTTTCTTCTCCACTCTTTCTCCCCCTCCACTCTCTCTCTCTCCTGTCACTTCTCTCTCTCCCCCCACCCTCTGCTTGTTTTAACTCAGAGACTCTGCTGGGCCCCCTCAGATTGTGATTATTTCCTTTGCACACCCATGAGTCTATTTATACACCAAGCTAATAGGGTACAGGGGAGCGATGGAAACCCACAAGTGGTAGGAAGTACTGCTGTTTGCAGAGAGAGATGTGAGAACTGGAAGCTCTTCGGTCCCCTCTGCAAACATCAGGCAGAAGCTGGACTGGGGCTCTCTGAAGCAGAGGGAGGATCACAGTGTCCCTCTGAAGTCTTCACAATCACACGTCCACCTGCAATAACATGCATAGGTCAGCAAGGCTTTTCCCCTTAGGGATGCACAGATCTCGAGGCACTATCTCTCTTCAGGAAAAAGAGTTCAGTTTCTCAGCCCAGATCAACTTCCAGGCCAAGATTGAGAATCATCCTAAACTTCCTGCCCATTTCAGGGTCAAGGATTTCATGCACACCCTCCAGTCCCAGCACCTATTTCTCTATGAAAACATAGCTGGTGGTTGGAGGTTACCTGGGATGTTGATTTCTCATGCATGCTAGAGCCTCACTGGGATAAATTCACAGAGTGTAAACTGGTCTCACTCCCATTAAAGTAGATAGAATCAAGTCAAAATTAAAAACACTCTTTACTACATTACATTATCTTTTGAGTAATTTTTCCCTACCCATATATAATTTTAGTGAGTTCAATGTCAGCAAAGTGAGCTGTTTCTAAAACCAAATAAAGTCAGACATAGGTTTGCTTCTGGGGAATGAATAATTTAGCTAACTAAATTGGAAACCTGTACTGTGTCTTCTAAGAAATTGTCTTACACCTCTACACTTCTATAATGTCTATAAGTTTGAAAATTATAGAAGGGAAATAGGATAAGAAGCAGATAAAATAGGAAACAGTGTAACAAATATTTTGGTTGGTATTAATGAATGAATACATGATTCTGTCCACATAACTTCTTAGAAAAAAGATTTTCTCACCACCTCCACTACATAAAAGTTTCAAAATATATTTTTAAAATTTCCATCTGAAAAGGCATCAAGGGATTGAACCCGCCTCTCAGTCTGCCCTGTCGTGTAGCACATGCAATAATAAGCCTTGTTGAGTACTTCTTCTGATCCTGTTCCAGAAGCCAGAATCTTGACTAAATAATTAGGTATGAGCTACCTAGTTCAAGCACCTATCTATGAAAATACCTAGAATGATTTTTAAATTCATATCAGCTGAAGAAAAACAGTAGTTTCATTGAGAACTACTAAACAGAAGAAACCATACATATTCAGATACACTTAACTTGAACATGAACATACACAACTTTCTCTAAATGACTCAACAGTGTCATCCTGAGGCTAACCAAACTTCCTTCTCAGTCAGGAATTATCAGGAATTACTCTCCTTAACCAACCAGCCAAGAGAATAGACTCTGTTTTGGTCCAATTTGGGATTTATCTTCTTGAAAATTCTGGTGGTAACCTTGGGATTTGAGCCTGTAATACTTTTACCACATTATTCTGAGACTCTGCAAATGTACGAGGTTCATGGAAATGACCAAATCTTTAATTACTGCTTTTGTTGGATGATGACTTCCTCCCATATGCTGTCTATTCAGTGCCATTTTTTTTCTCCAAACTCAGCTCTAAGCTCTGCATCTTCTTTTTACCATTGTGATCATCATTCCACACTTCTGTTCTCTGCCCAGATGTGGAATCAAGAACTTGCATAGTAGGAAGGGACACATCCCTGTTGGGGTCCGAGCAGGAAACAGCTAACCCCAGTGGGCACAGAACATGTGCCATTCTACTAGCTGTGAAACATATTTAAGAAGCCTCACTTGCTGCAGTGTCTCAGAGCTGTTAAATAACTGAATACCCCAAATCATATGGGCTGCATTCTGATCCTCAAACAATAATGTTATTTCATATCTACAGAATAATATCTAAGGTACTTTCTCACAGGCTCCCTCAATTGATGGCTGACACAACACTGGGAAGCAGGTAAATAAGACTTAATTATCCTCATTTTATGGCTGAGGAAGCTTAGAATCTTAAATCTATAAGTCAGGGCAAAAATCACAGTCCATAAAGCCAGCTAGATCTATGTTCTAATTTCAGCACGCTCACTTATGTAGGTTCTCCATCTTTCCATTCATCATGGCTTCCTCCGCTCTCATAACTCTCAGTTGTGAAGATGAAGTGAGATACTGTATAAAGAAGAAGTACTGGTAGGATCCTGGCATTTTACTACTAGATGCTCAATAAATAGCATTTCTCTCCCCTCTCCTTTCCCTCAGAGATGTGGGTCTGACCACCCAGCCAATAAATGGCAGAGCTCAGAAGAGAACCCAGCTTCTGACTCTTGACCAAGTGGAAAAGTATTAGCTCAGGGACCACAATTCCCTTCTATACTCATACTTTCTGGCTCGTCCATACCATGTAAAAATTGCTGCCACAAGAGAGAGGGACAGATCCAGGTTCTGTCCAGCCTGACACTTACACAATTTGGAAGCTCCTTCTTTAAGAAAAGAACACAAAATTGAGAACATAAGATTAAGCGTAAAAGGGCTATTTAGTTAGAACGAACGAAGCCACAGCAAATTATAAAATTTTCAAAGCTGACTAAAAATGCAAACATTACAGGGGCGCCTGGGTGGCTCAGTCAGTGAAGCGTCCAACTCTTGATTTTGGCTCAGGTCATGATCTCAAAGTTGTGAGATCGAGCCCTACGTCAGGCTCCGTGCTCAGCGCAGAGTCTGCTGGAAATCCCCTCTCTCCATCTCCCTCTGCCCCTCCCCCAACCCACGCTCTAAATAAAAATAAATAAATAAATCTAAAGAAAATTAAAACATTACAAAATCCTGAAAAATAATACATTTATTATCAACTTCCAGAAATACCTCTATACTATCTTCTCCTACATTTTTCTGGCTGCATTCTCTTTGATCACTTCTTCACGCCACAATTTTGAAACATTACCCAAATACAGGGACTGGCAGAATAATCAGTCTTTCTTTGAGCATAGTTGATTGCTTTACTCTATGGAAGGCAATTTTATCTGCCATTTGGTCTGGAACTGCCAAACTTCACTGAGGTAAGACATATGAGATACGCGAAGGTGCCATCTGATGTGCTAGAATGAGCAAAATACGTAACTTCACCAGTTTGTCCTACTGCTTTAGATTTATGTCCTATAAACAGAGGAATTTCCATAAGTTCTATTTCGTGTAATTCTCATCCCCCCCAAAAAAAAAGATGGAGTGTTATTGACTAGAAAGAACTGCTTTAATTAGGTGTCAGTGTGACTTGAGTCCTCCATTTACAATTTTCTACATGTGACTGACAGCTGGAAAAATTTTCCATAGCATAGTATCTGGCTCCATGTATTTCAAGCTTCCTTTCACCCCTTTTCCTCCATATTTCTGGAGCTGGTTCATATCACGCTACCGTGCTTTTAAGTTAAGATGTCAGATGCGGGCGCCTGGGTGGCTCAGTTGGTTAAGCGACTGCCTTCGGCTCAGGTCATGATCCTGGAGTCCCGGGATCGGGTCCTGCATCGGGCTCCCTGCTCGGCGGGGAGTCTGCTTCTCCCTCTGACCCTCTCCCCTCTCATGCTCTCTCTCTATCTCATTCTCTCTCTCAAATAAATAAATAAAATCTTTAAAAAAAAATAAGATGTCAGATGCATCACAGAGTGGGCATACTTTGGTTAGCTTACATGTACGCCAGGATGATGAGCAATCACGCAGGTCTATTCTGAGGTGACAGCAAACTATGCAAAGTAGCTCATAAATCTGCTACTCGGAATCCCCCAAAAATGCATGCTCTGACACCACACACCAGGAGAGAAATCTGGAGGGGAACAGGTAGTCTTAACTGATTGCTGTTAAAACACCTTATGTTCTTCAAATTTTACAAAACATATGACCATTAGAACTCATTGCTAGGGGCACCTGGGGGAGCGGCGCAGTGGGTTAAGCGTCCAACTCTTGGTTTTGGCTCAGGTCATGATCCTATGGTCGTGAGATTGAGCCCTGCATCAGGCTCCATGCTCAGCTCAGCTTGAGATTCTCTCTCTCCCTCTGCCCCTCCCACCCATGCTCTCTCGCTCGCTCCTTCTCTCTCTGAAATAAATAAATAAATCTTTAAAAAAGAGGAAGAAGAAGAAGAACACATTGCTAGGGCCCCAGATAGAGTTAGTGTAGGTGAGAGGACACGTTAGCTTTACTGAAAGGAAATCCACCCCTGGAGGGACCCATTCCAAAGCAAGGTCAGGAAGCCAACTTAATCAGATGCCTCAGTTTTTTATTATAAGGGGAAAACATTTCTAGGACCTCAAGCAATTTAAAAGGATAAGTTAACTCCTCACAAAGACTAGCTTTAGCCCACTTTCAATTAATTTATTTTCTTTGACTGCTCTTGCTGCTTTGAAAACCTGAGGAGTATCTAAGCAAAGAAAAGCAAAGGATTGATGGCTGGGAGGAAAGAATGTCTAGGTATCAGTTGCTCACTTTATGACATTCCACACTTGAGACTATTTTGTAACATTTTAGCTATAACGGCAACCTTTCAGATTCACTTTAACCCTGAAAACTCCAAGCCGAAAAGCTTCTGCGACAACTCACCACAGGTTGTTTCTAGGCCGGCTTGTTTTCATTTCACCATGGATCTTTGAACAGTCACTGAGCTAATTCGATTTTCAGGCCCATTAATCTAGAACTTCAAATCAAAGGAGAGATGATACATCTCCCGGATAAGTTTGCAGAGTGGCAGCCACTGGGGCAACGGCATCTTCAAACTCCCCGGGCTGCCTCCAGATCGGTGTGGGCACCGCTTCCCTAAGCCCCTGACCTACATATGGACGGCAGCTGGCATGCCCGAGGGAAGGGGAGAGAGGCAACAGGTGCCTCTGCGTGGCATTTCTTCACTGTTTGTCATCAATACTAACAAGCCTGGCTTTCGAGCACAGTGAAGTGGACAGCGCTTGGTTTTGGAATCCCCATGTCTTCCACTCCGAGTCTCTCTTTGGTTTGACCACTCAGTTTCCCTTAGTGTCCAGAATTCTCTTCCTTTACTGCCTTTCTCCCTTCTAGTAACCTGGTTTTCAGGAAGATATCTGATCTAAAACAAAAACAAAATGCCCACACTCAGATATCTCAGGTGCAAATGAGCCCATCTTAGTGGCCCACTGACAGTGTGAATGAACCCTGATGCACATTAAAATTACCCAGGGACTTTAACAAACACCAATACTTGGGCCTTAACCAGACTGATCAAAGCAGACACTGTG